GGGTGCTAATTGTAGCTGGGTCCTGAAGTGAAAATGTTTTGTGACAGTTGAAAGAATTTACAGAGGAAGGAAGATCGGTTTAGTGTCAGCTGCAATTAGATAATCAAAGCTTAAAAATCCTACTCTGTTGATACCTTCACCTAGAGTTAAGGAGAGGAGCGAGGGGAAGGGGGAGGAGGGCTGTGCGCTGAAAGGGCATTTCCATAGCCAGCGCAGCCGAGGCCCGACTGAGCTTGCAGGTTGTCTGGGCGCACGCTTGCACAGAGATTTTCTTGGCAGCGCTACAGGATGAGGCTCGCACTGTACACAGCCGACATATTGAAGCCGAGAGCCCTGGAGAACGTAGATGCAGGAGTAGAAACAGCTCTGCACACAATGTAGCGTCTCCTAGGATGGTTGGGCGGCTCCTTTCTTCAGGTATTTTATTACCCATCAGCCCTTTTTAGAGCCAAAAAAAAAGGAGAATAACCCTAACCCTGAGAAAATAGCATCTGCTTCTGTTAAATCAATTTATTACATAACGTTTCAGAGAGCGAGAGAGCAGCAGCACAGCGTCCTAAGCTTTTGGCTGCGTTTCAGGTTTGATAAAATGGCGTCTTCGCAGCGAGCTGCTTGCTAAAGATACGCTGGGCTGAGCAGAAAAATGCACTCTGTGGTGTTTGCTGCCGCTGCTCCCTTTCGGGAGAGGTAGCATCTAGTGGGATCTCTACTAATAATGAAAAAATGCTGTTTATTTTTGCTGGTTTTCTTAATGCATTTAAAAGCTTGCAGCAGCAGAGGAAAGGAACTGCAGTTTAATGTCGTAGCGCAGAAAATTAAAACGGGATAACCGGCTTTCCCACTTGTGTACTTAACTGTGGTTTTAGTTTTAAAATAAAGCAAGCTGCTGTGTTCAATGCTTCCACGCCACCTCTTTTCTGCCTTTCCACGTAACGTACGCTGTTTGGTATTTCAGCTTCTGACATGTGCGAGACTTGCTTTAAGTTAACTCAGGAGGTGGCTTCAAATTGGTGACAAGTTTTCAAATTTGTCCTCAGCCCCGGGCAGCGTGTGCGTAGAGCGGCGTGGAGCAGGGAGCCTGGAATACTAGCACTGCAATTCCCAGATTGTCTGCTTTGTTATTGTTCATTCTTCAGAATGGATGCGTGTGTCATCTTTTTCCTTTATAAAATTAGCCTGTGTTTGATCTAGCACTTCAGATGTTTCTGGCAATTCCTATATAATTCAGAAATGTATACTCTCTTAAAGATCTGCTCATGTTGAATGATTCTTTTGGGGGGAGGAAGTAATTTGCCCTTTTTTCTTCACTTCCTACTCGGAATCACTAACCTTGGTCTGACAGGTAAAATCCTCAGCGGGACTGTCACTGGCCTTTGGGATTTTTTCTCTCTTCTGCCTGTCATAGCAAAGAACAACGTTGTCTGTAATCTGTCCTTTGGGCAGGACAGGATGAGCCAGTGGATCTGCTGGTGGTTCTGCTGACTAACACAAACTGAAAAATAAAACTAGTAATAAGAGGGAGTCACTATTAGATCTGATTTAAAATTGGATGAGCAAAACTTCTCAGTAATGTGGTTCTCATTAAAGTTTTATCCCATTTAGCACCTTCTCCATACTTCAGTCCCTAAACCAGCTGCATGTTATACTATAGTTTGGGATGCATAATTGTACTGCGCAGCATTTGAAGTCATTACTGTAATGGAAGTTACGTAGAGATACTTTTAACTCATCCCATCCCATTAAGGACATTATTTAAAAACAAAACCAAACCCTCGTGCTTGCTGGTAACACTGCTCAAAGCTGTGCAGTTTTCAGGTAGCATGAATGATTGCAATTTGACAGAAGTTATGTTTGTTTAAAACAAATTTGAGCTGTTTTTCTTGGTATTAGATTAATCATTCCTTCCTGATTGCTGAAGAATATTGTTAATCAAGGGAATCATCTTTTATAAAAGATGCATAATTACAATTTTCAAACACAAAGCATTACGTTAATTTAAAAATCAATTTCATATTGCAGTGTACCAGCACTAGGACTTGCTGACATAAAATACCTGTGGTTTCTCTTCCCTATGCTTTGTTTAAAATCTTTGCTCAGTTCACAGGGGAAGGATAGAAATTGCTTCTGGTGGACTGCAGTGCTTTTGTCTTTGCATACTTAAAGAGGAGCTGATTATTAAGATTTTTTTAAGTGTGTTTTCCATTGCAGTCTTAGGAGCTCTGAAAATAAAATACTTGCAATTTCAGTGAAGAGTTGGTTTCTTAGAAAGTTGGAGGAAATCTGTGTTCAAAAAAAAACCCGTCAAACCCTCAAACTAAACAAAAAAAAGTTCTCTAAGATTTAACCATATAAAGTATTTGGGCTTCGTTGTTTTTTCCAAATATTTAAAATCCTTATGGATTGAGTCGGACTGAGTTAAGAGTTATTTAGTTTGTAGGAATGAACAACTCCTAGACTAGAGAAAGTGGAAAAAAATGCCTTTTGGTTGTTTTCTTCTAGTGACATGAATACAAAAAGTCCTCTTTTCAGGATCAGTTCTGCATGCCAACTCTGTTACGGTTGTCCAGCAGCAAATTCACAGATTTTGCAGCTTTCTGTTTATATTGTGAATTTTTTTTTCATTCTCTTTATTTTAGCTGTCCTGTTTCTTACAAGTTTAGAGCAGCAGCCATTGGTGTTAGAACCAATTGTTCCAGTACATATTTGGGCCCTGTGAAGTTATTGTACATCCCTGGTTTTGCTCTTTTTTTTTTTTTTTGAACATGTGACCGTGAAAGGTACCAGCACCTCCCTGCTGCCACCAGAGCACGGACGGCACCGCACAGGTACGCTGCTGCTCAGGAGGGGGCTTCCTTCTCCTATGTCCCCTAAAAAAATCACTGTAATCCCTGTCAGAGCAACCACTTTCTGATTAGTCAATAGTTACTGCTGAGGTTGTAACCTGAATCTCAGCTAAAGGAACTGTGCTTGAGGGTACACGAAAAGGAGTCATTTTGGAGTTGCAAACCCTTGGAAAACAAAGGGGTTTGAGCTGCATATGTGCTGCGTCCAACTCAGATAACTTGGTGTGATACTGTCTGAAGTATTCTGCTTCTCCAAGTTGAAGCACTTGGACATTTTCTACTTTTAACATGGTCATCTCTTGGTTTTTCTTCCCTCTCATAATTTTTTTTCCATTCTTGTTTCTCTGATTGCTCTTCAAAATCACAGAATCATAGACTGGTTTGGGTTGGAAGGGCCCTTAAAGATCATCTAGTTCCAACCCCCCTGCCATGGGCAGGGACACCTTCCACTAGACCAGGTTGCTCCAAGCCTCATCCAGCCTGGCCTTGAAGACATCCAGGGATGGCGCATCCACAACATCTCTGGGCAACCTGTCCCAGTGCCTCCCCACCCTCTCTGGGAAGAACTTCTTCCTGATATCTCATCTAAACCTCTCCACTTTCAATTTAAACCCGTTGCCCTTTGTCCTGTCAACAAGGAGTAATCCTGATATCTCATTTAATAAACCATTTTGCTCCTTACTCAGGAAGCTTTCTAAGCTTTTTTGTCATCTTCCTCTTCCATTCCCAGCCCTTCCCCTTCCTTTGTCTGCTGAGTTCTCTCAGAGCTACGCATTGCTTTGACCACTGTCTTTGGGGGAGAGAAGAAAGAAGAAGAGATGATTAACAAGCAGCTGCCTTTCGTCCCCTCTTCTCGCTCTCAGGGCCGTTCCTGCGAGCGTTGCGGCGTCTTGCACTGTGCTCTTGATCCCTCACAAACCTGCCCAGCACAGACGCTCTCGCTTGCCTTGGGCACCACCGTCGTTCCCCCTGGCACTTGCACATGGAGCTTAAGGTCTTGTCAAAGCCAAAACCTTTTATTGGAACAAATATTTCAAGCTACTTTTAAATTTTGCTGGCATGTCTGAGATGTAGTGCCAAATCTCACCACCCACAGTGTTGGAAAAAAATCTCACCTAACTCCTCTTATCCGAGGCCTTGGTTGCCTCAACTTCTTATCTTCTGGCCTGGACTGCCACTACTTTTCGCCTTTGCTCATTCCTACTCTGCGAAGAATGCTGCTTGGCTCAGTTTTTTTGATCCCATTGACCCTTTTTTAAGTCATTTCACACCTTGCTTTCCCTTCCATGTCTTAGCTGGGATTCTGGTCTCCGTTAAACACCTGCGTAGCAAACCCAGGTGATCAGTTGAATTTTCAACCCCCTTCCTGAGCTCTGTAGTGTACCGAGGTGGCTTTATCCAGGAATAACACGATGCTTTCTTCCTTTCTAGCCACTGCACGTCAGGGAGAGAATGCAAGTGGCTCTTGCACATTCTCTTTTGGATTTGTCATACACATGTCATTTAGCTCTTTCTGTGGAATGATAGCCTTTTCCAGGCATCATGAGAAGACAGGTTATGAACTAAGGCTGTTTTCCCTTCCTTTCTCTGACATTTGTACTTTTGCTTCAATTGATTTAAAAAAAAGGCAGTCTGTCTGGGTTATGTGTTCTTCTTTCTTCATCTTGATAAATCTTCATGAGACAACCAAGTAATCCCCCCTCTTTCTTGAAAAGCTGCAGGTGAAATGCGTGAATAAGAAGACTTTTTCAAAGACAGCACTTCTTATTCTTGGAGCAATTTTTCTGCAGTGTTAGAACAGCTCAAATTAGAGGCAGTTAGAGGGGCTAATCACACCAAAATATTTGTAATTCAAATTAATGCGTATTAGGCATCCACTGCTAACAACTTATTTGGGAAATCTGTTGCATCCATCTTCCTCACAAAATATTCTTTCTATTCAAATGATAAGAAATAGGAGTCATGTTTCTGCAGATTTACAACAAGGAAAAATAATTGACATCCAAAATTTTTAACTTACGTATATGCAGTTTTCTCCCTTTACTTAGAGACCCAGTTAAGAGGAACTGCTGTGCAGATCATCTCTAGTGTGTATCCCTAGGATCAGGCTGAAATTTCCCATCAAAGGAAATGAAACGGTCATCTACACTAGAAATCTTGTGGAGAGCAATTGGGATGGAAAGTAAATGCAAAATCTTGAACTAAGCTTAAATTCTTTGCATGAGGAGTGTTGTGTCTTCCGGTTTAACTTTGTACCCTAGCAACTGATTAGATGCTCAAGAGGTTCTGTTTAATATTTTGGATTAGCATCTGTGTTCGAGCATGTGGGCGGTGCTCTGAAAAGACTGTCTTCCGCGTATCTGTACAACACAGCATTGCTTTTTATTGGGTTGGGGGGTGGAATTGGTCTATATGTGCAAGTGCAAAACGGTGTGTAAACTGCATGTAAATCCTTTGAGGTAAGTTTCTTGATGAAACTCGGTTATTCCCAAGTTCTCTGCTAAAATGTAAGTTAGAGCAGTGGTGTTTAAAGGTCTGATTGACACTGAGTAGGGAGGGTGGCTGTCTGTATTTGTTCCTTATTTACAGGAGGGGGTGAAAACCAAACTGCGGTATGAATTTAGTGTGAGTGTGATGTGGGTGTGTCTGAGAGCAGACAGACATTTTACGTTTTTAACTGGATGCTCGCTCTTTGTGTTTCTCGGAAGAATGAGAATTGAATCAAAGTAAATGGTAAGAGTCAACTAGATACTCTTGAGTGTTTTTTCCAAATTTGCTTTTTAGATTTCTCACATAAATCAGTGTATTTGCTGTTCTTATTTATTGCCTGCGCATTATTTTTACTAGTATGCTAAGGGATAAAACGCTTCTGTTGATCTGTTCTAAAACTGAATTGTTCCATTATTTTAATGGAGAGATTTGCCAGATTAAAAAAAAAAATACTAAATATGAGCATCGTGCTTTATTGTAGTGAGAAAAATTGCTGTATTATGTTGGAGAATGTACTCTAAATTTTAGCAGAATGCAGTGTTGTAATTCGCAATGTAAAATAAAATTTAATAGAGGGCTTTTGCAGTGCTTGAACAATGGACTCATTTTTAACCTTGTTGGATCCTTTCAGATCTCAGCCACAGTGGATTGGGAGACCATTATGAGAATTCCCACTGGGGACAGCAGCCCGCTTTCAGGAGTGAAGGCAACTGCAGCTGGGATAAAGTGATAATAGACAGGACTGACAAGGAAGCGTGGCCTTCCATTACCGGAGCTGAGACTGAGTCTGCCTCAGAATGTACTACAGACACTGACTCTGCCTCCAACTGTGGCTCAGAGAACAGTAGCATGGCTACAGGGAGTGCCCAAGGCAACTTCACTGGACATACAAAGAAAACTAATGGCAATAATGGCGCCAACGGAGCACTCGTCCAAAGCACTTCTAACCAGAGTGCCCTTGGAGCTGGTGGAGCAAACGGTAACGGCAACTCGGCCAGAGTGTGGGGTGTGGCTGCGGGCTCCAGCTCTGGCCTAGCTCACTGCTCTGCCAGCGGTGGGGATGGAAAGATGGACAACATGATGGGAGATGGTAGAAGCCAGAACTGCTGGGGTGCTTCCAACTCAAATGCTGGCATTAATCTTAACCTTAACCCTAATGCCAATCCAGCTGCCTGGCCTGTACTTGGACATGAAGGAACTGTGGGAGCAGGCAACCCTTCCAGTATTTGCAGTCCGGTCAGTGCCATAGGTCAGAACATGGGCAACCAGAATGGGAACCCAACAGGCACCTTAGGTGCTTGGGGAAACTTGCTGCCGCAAGAGAGCACAGAACCACAAACGTCCACTTCTCAGAATGTGTCTTTCAGCGTACAACCTCAGAACCTTAACACTGATGGACCAAATAACACTAACCCCATGAACTCTTCACCAAACCCTATCAATGCAATGCAGACAAATGGACTGCCGAACTGGGGGATGGCTGTTGGTATGGGAGCCATCATCCCACCCCACCTGCAAGGCCTTCCTGGTGCTAACGGAACATCAGTTTCTCAAGTCAGCGGGGGCAGTGGTGAAGGAATGGGCAGTTCAGTGTGGGGGATGTCCCCAGGTAATCCTGCCACAGGAAACAGCAATTCTGGGTTCAGTCAGGGGAATGGAGACACTGTGAACTCAGCATTAAGTGCTAAACAAAATGGATCCAGCAGTGCTGTGCAAAAGGAAGGAAACGGAGCGAGCGCTTGGGATTCAGGGCCTCCTTCTGGTCCTGGGGTACTAGCGTGGGGCAGGGGCGGTGGCAACAGTGGTGTTGGTAATATGCATTCTGGAGCTTGGGGCCACCCCAACCGTAACACCAGTAACGGTGTGAACGGTGAGTGGGGCAAGCCCCCAAACCAGCATTCCAATAGCGACATCAATGGGAAAGGATCAACAGGGTGGGATAGCTCTAGTGTTACCAGTCCGAATCCTGCCATGCAGCAGGGCAACGAACAAATAAACTCTTGGGCCAAAGCTGCAGCATCTGGCACCACGGCTAGCGAAGGCAGTAACGACAGCAGTGGCAGTCAAAACGAAGGCAGTACTGGGAGGGAGGGGGCTGGCGAGGGCAGAAGGAGAGACAAAGGGATGATAGACCAAGGGCAAGTTCAGTTGCCGAGAAATGACCTTGACCCCAGGGTCCTGTCCAATACAGGGTGGGGACAGACCCCCGTAAAGCAAAACACTGCCTGGGAATTTGAAGAGTCCCCAAGGTCTGAGCGAAAGAATGACAATGGAACAGAGGCCTGGGGTTGTGCAGCTACTCAATCTTCAAACTCAGGGGCGGGGAAGAACGATGGGTCCATCATGAACAGTACAAATACCTCTTCAGTATCTGGGTGGGTCAACTCTCCACCAGCAGCTGTTCCATCAAATACAGGCTGGGGAGACAATAACAACAAAGCACCAAATGGCCCAGGGGGGTGGGGAGAGTCAGCAAGCTCTACTACTGTTAATAATGCTGCTGCTGCCAAAAGCGGCCACGCTTGGAGCGGGACTGCAAATCAGGAGGACAAATCACCTACCTGGGGTGAGCCTCAGAAACCCAAATCTCAAAACTGGGGAGATGGACAGAAATCAAATCCAAGCTGGACTTCGGGAGGTGGAGATTGGACAGATTCATCGTCTGTTCCTGGACACTTGGGTGATGGGAAGAAGAATAATGGATCTGGATGGGATTCTGACAATAGATCAGGGTCTGGTTGGAATGATTCCGCAAGGTCTGGGACCACTGGTTGGGGAAATGGCACAAACAGCAAGGCTAATACAGGTACAAGTTGGGGGGAATCTTTAAAGCCAAGCCCCCAGCAAAATTGGGCTAATAAACCCCAGGACAATAATGTGAGTAACTGGGGAGGAGCTGCTTCTGTAAAACAGACGGGGTCAGGGTGGGTTGGTGGGCCAGTGCCAGCCAAACAAAAAGAGAACTGTGAGGCAACTGGCTGGGAAGAGCCATCTCCACCGTCCATTCGCCGCAAGATGGAAATCGATGATGGTACCTCAGCTTGGGGCGACCCAAATTACAACAACAACAAGACTGTAAACATGTGGGATAGAAATAATCCTATAATTCAGAGCAGTACCACAACCAATACCACCACCACTAGCACCATTATCAACACAAACATGGTTGAACCTCAGCCATCGCACCAGTCAAGTGCCCAGCCGAACCGGTCCCCGCTGCTTGGTCCAGGTATGAAAATCGTTTTGTAAGATACTTGATACCAGCACCAATTTCTGAATGCTGTCTGGCCTGATCCGTGCGTAGTTATACGTGAAAGATAGAAATCCTGTGTTTATGTCACGGAACAAGTTTGTTCTTCCCTCTGGAGCAGCGTTAACTGCTTCGCTTGAGGACAGAGCCCACGGAACGTGACCCACAGGCTCTTCCATTGTCCACGTGGAATTAAGAAGGGCTTGAAACCATCTCTAGTCAATAACCCACTGAGTCCTTAGATTGTTGATCTGCATTTATTTTGTCAGCCCTTCCACCGTTATGTAGCATCTTCTTTTAATTCAGCCACTGGAGAGTTGATGGTCCTTTTGCTAACCTTCTTCCTCTTGTCTTCTGTTACCACTGCTCCGTCTTTGTTCTTGTTTAGACAGGATGCATCGGTTTCTTTGCTGCAAACCGTATCTCTTGGCAACAGATGTGTTTTGGTGGTTGCATTCATCTAGACTCTTGCTGTTTCTCTGCCTTCTGTTCGTTGTCTCTTAGGAAGAAATGGTTCTTTTCCGTACTGCAGGTCTGAAGCAGGGGTAGTATCCTGGGCTTTCATGTGATTCTCATAAAGGTGGATTGGTTAAAGATGTTAGTATTCAGGGTGGCTGGGAAAAGTAATTTTAACTTGAGCTGTGTTCCAGAGGCAAGTTTTTAGGCATTTAGGAATTTTTCTAATCAGACGAGGTACTGTTGCAGGCAAGCAACAAAGAACAAAAATGGGGGGAAAACGAGAAAAATCCTTAGGAGGGAGGTATTTAAATGAAAGTTACTAGCAGCCCTGCTCTATATCATGACCAGACTTCTCAAAATAAATCTGGTCTTGTAGTGTTCTTTGAAATTTTTCATCTGATTTTTGTCCCCAAGTTTCTGTTTCATCTTGGTCATGACTAAATATTGACTTTTTAACCGTGTTTTTTTCAAAATGGGGTTTGTTCTCATTTCCATCATTTTTTCTCTTTGATGTTTCGGGATAATTCATCTTACTGTAATGTCTGTGTAAAAATAGTCTCGTGCTCCCTACTCTGGTTAAATATTTTAACAGTTGATGGTATCTATTTTAATATAATAGCATGTGCTCCACAAGGAAAAATCTTTAAATAGGTTTGTACTTGGTCAGTCCAACATAAGTGACCTATAATTCATTTACCTTATTTCATCCAAATTTAAGTCTTGTCCATGAAACTGACAATTCAAATTCCTGAATTGGAGTGGAGATAGCATGAAAGTAGGGTTTTGGTTGGGTCTGGGGGTTTGGTTTTGGGTTTGAGTTTGGGTTTTGGGTGGGGGTATTGTTTAAAATTTCATTAAGCTGGTTTTTAGATGATGATATCTGTGCTTGTTAAAGCTGTTCATACGCAGTGATACTAATGCCATTCAGATACTCATTACACCTTGCGGGGGAAAATTTGCTGTTCTGAGTCCTTCAGAATTGGAAAATGGAGTTTAAAAAATGGTCTTGATCTACAGTGATTCCCCTGGAGAATAGGTGGTAGCAAAGGAAAGGTTTCTCTGGAGGTATACGTTTACGCAGTCAGAGAAGTGCTTATGAATTTGCAACCATCCACTCGAGGTCGCCCATGCCTGGGTTAAAGTGACAGTGTTGTGTATCTTGCAGAAATATTTGTTAGAAAGATTCTGAGATACCAAAGCAAAACCAACTTGCAGTATATTTAAGACCGTGTGCAAGAAAGAGGCTAAATTGAGTAACAGTGAGAACAATTTAAAATACAGTTCTCATAGTAAAATTTAGAGCAAGTTATCGAGGGCATAAGTTAGGCCTTTTTTTGTGTATTTTTGCTGACATACTCTTAGTTGTGTACATAGGTACAGATATAAAGGCCAGTATGGTGGAAATATTTTGAAGGATTATTGTCTAATCTGCCAATGGAAGCTAGGAGGAGCCCCCTGTGTCTTTGGGTTATGCCCATCTTTGCTTTTGGCTGTGCCGGAGAGGGGCCAGTCTCTTGCCTCTCCTGGGGAGGCAGATCCAAACCCTTAATTTAAGCTGATGCCCTGAGCTTCCCCATTCAGAGTGCAGGAGACTGTTCAGCCCGGCGCACAGCAGCTGTGGAGCAATATCCTGTTGGTCTTTGTGGAAATGTACACAGACTTAAAACATCTACAGATCATGGCCCATCTGGGACGGCTGGAAGATGAGGAGCAAGTAATGAGCAGCTTTCCAACGACACAACATGGGCTTGTATTTTGTTGTCGTGCTGTTTAACCTTTTTTTTTTCCCCCCTCGTCCAATTCCCCTTCCCTTTGCCTTTGCATTTCCAACCTCTTCAGTGCCGGAGATGAGAATCGTGCAGCCCGGAGACTTCTGTAATCCACAACCAAATTTCATCCAACAACAATTTTCCATGTACAGTCTTTCCATGCAGAACATGATTATGTAACCGTAGGTTTTGCCATAGGGCGCAGGTTAAGTGCTCATCTCAAACCTCACAACACTTGAACTAGGTAGTTACCACTGGTATTTTGTCATGACCTGCTTTGCTAATCATTTTGATAGTTCAGGGAGTATAATGAGTCAGGAACCCTGGGCTCTTTTCCTGTGTTATTGGGGAGGTCTGGCATAGCTGTAGGATGGCACAGTCGTGCATCCTGGAGCAAAGAAGTGGATTCAGATCTTGCTGTGCAGCACTAGTTCACGAAGGAGCAGCAGTCCCTTTGGGGTTTGAGTTTATGCTGTATTAGTTTAGAAAGGGAGGCCAAGTTACAGGCTTGTTACTCAAATTGTCACCCATCCCCAGAAGTTCTCAAAGTTCTTTGAATGCAGAACTTAAAAGCTATTGATGGGAAGCAGATGTTGGTACACACTTGATGAAAATGCATCATGCTCTACGGAGTTTCTTTTGGGGGGAAACAGTGGGGGAGAGAGCGTGATAGGAGCTTGCTCCCAAAGCACTGGTGGGTTATTTAGAAAGGCAGAAAGCTGGTGGTTTTGATTTACGTTCAATCTTTATTTAAATTACTTGTGCGTAATTCTTACTAGGACTTTTAACTTTGCAATTTTGATACAAAAGTAATAAGAAGTGAGAAAAGGTTTTGCAAACAGGGAAGGTTAAAAGAGACATTTCTGGATCCCAAACAGCACCAGATCCTTCCTCCAAATGCTGAGGAGTGGGCTTGATGCCTTCCTCTTCCCATGCAGTAGGTAGAGACTGGCGGGGTTATAACTGCCCGTCCTCCAGCTGAGAAAAGAAATAACCCAAGGTAATGTGGGCTTCCCTATGGAGATTTTTAGGTTGAAAATTAAGGCCTTTGTGGTTCATAGAGAGTAAGGAGCTTAAGTTTTAAAAATCTGAACCAGGTCTAAATTCTCAAAGCTCTGAAAATCTCTCTGTTCCTTTTATAATCCAATGCCATTGTCTTGGCGGCAACCCGTGTGTCGCTCATAATGTAATTTGTGTGAGACAGAGAAGGCAAGTGATGTGTTTTTCTTGCTTTCAACATGCATCAGGGTGGGTTTCAAACCAGATCAGTTTTGAGCTCATTTAGGATGCTCCTGTTAAGGTTTCTCTGCCCTCTAAGAGCCAAGTGATGCTGAGAAACCTGCCCTCACTTCTCACACAGGCTGAAAGCCAGCTAAGAGCTTCCCTACTGCTGAGCAGTAGAAGACATGCAACTCTGCTGTATTTATGGAATACTGGAATACTTTTTAGAAAACGCAGACCTGAAAGGTTAAAGGTTACAGGTGACTCTTAAAAATTTATATAACCCTACCCTTTACGGACACACTCATAGAATCATGGAATGGTTTGGGTTGGAAGGGACCTTAAAGATCATCCAGTTCCAACCCCCTGCCACAGGCAGGGACACCTTCCACTAGACCAGGTTGCTCCAAGCCTCATCCAGCCTGGCCTTGGACGCTTCCAGGGATGGGGCATCCACAGCTTCTCTGGGCAATCTGTCCCAGTGCCTCCCCTATATATAGCTCAGGGGTTTTTTTCTATTATTAGATTAACTAGTGACTATAGAGTAAACAATCTCATTTTTCTATCAATTCCTTTTTTATTTACATATGGTTCTAATATTTTGGTTTGCCCATGTTGTGGTCATGTGCTCTGGTATTTATCACAGACCAAACAACTTCAAGGAAAACAATTTCTGCTATCCAAATGGCTATAGGATTATTTTGAAGGAAAACAACTGCATCCTGCCACAGCTTAGTTAACGTTTCACTTTCCCTTGGGGATATCCTGTTGGCTGTGGCCCAATGTTAATTATGTTTTTATTTCTATAAAACAAAGCTCTGCCAATACATCCATGTTTATTACTCACTGTGATCTTTTTGTTTCTTGGAGTTCTAACAGTGTTTAAAAACTTCAGTGTTTAAAAACCTCCCTTTCTTGCCAGAGAAACCTTTAACAGAGCTTGTTCTGTCGCAGAACAACATCCGTGCAGATCTGGGGGTTATTCAAGGCATGGAAAGCCTGTATCAATATTATTTTCATAAAGAAAAACAGCACATTTTCTTTGACCAGAATTTTTGAAAAGTTTAGGCAAGTTTAGTTTTTAAGACCATTGTGAGGGTGTTTTCCTTCCAAACAGCTGTGTAAAGGAACTTAAAAGCGAATTGTGAGGTGCCTTTATTGGGAGGTATCTGATGGCACTGGAAAGCATCACGCTGCCAGAGACAAGCCTTGGGACTGGGAACTCGCTGAACTAATACCCCAATTGTGTTGGTTTCGAATCTGCAGCGTACTGGGTTATTTTAAAAATCGAGGAAAAATCTTGTTTAAAAAAGAGCTCTTTGGGGAATACAAAATACTACTTTCTCCTGTAGAATTTTGCATCATTCATTCAAAATGTAACTTTATTCACCTTTTTAAATTTATTAAATATTCATAGAAAGGTGAGAACATAATAACATCAAGACAGCAAGTACCACAGAGAAGAAAACAGTTTAATAATTGAGTTTACATGGAGGTTAATTTTTGCAGTGCACTCCTTATTTCTTCAACAGCCTTCAGGTTCTATTTACTCATTTCCTGCACTTAATCTGATCTGTTAAGATAGTTTGGGAAACTTACAGCTGATGTGTTTGGTTTATTTTTATATGTGTGCGAATATTATTTGTATTATTATGAAATTAGGCCACGGAGATGCTCCGAGGGCTGGAGCCCCTCTGCTACGGGGACAGGCTGAGAGAGTTGGGCTGGTTCAGCCTGGAGAAGAGAAGGCTCCGGGGAGACCTTATAGCACCTTCCAGTGCCTGAAGGGGCTACAAGGAAGCTGGGGGCGACTTTTTCCAAGGGCCTGTAGTGACAGGACAAGGGGTAACGGGTTTAAATTGAAAGTGGGGAGGTTTAGATTAGATATCAGGAAGAAGTTCTTCCCAGAGAGGGTGGGGAGGCACTGGGACAGGTTGCCCAGAGAAGCTGTGGATGCCCCATCCCTGGAAGTGTCCAAGGCCAGGCTGGATGAGGCTTGGAGCAACCTGGTCTAGTGCAAGGTGTCCCTGCCCATGGCAGGGGGGTTGGAACTAGATGATCTTTAAGGTCCCTTCCAACCCAAACCAGGCTGTGGTTCTGTGATTTTTTTAGTGAAGGCTGGATCCCTCATTATTTGTAATCCCCTATTACTTACTGCTCAGCGCATTTAAAGCACTTAACTCAAAATAACTTGGACATTACACATCTGTGGTCTTTAATCAGTGTTGTTGAATTTATAATAAAGAGCGACAGACGGACCAGTTTGAGTTTTTATTCTACAACCTAGCACACTTTGCCTTTTCAATGTATGAGCTGTGTTTTAAGGTTGATTTGATAAATTGAATTTCTTAAAAGTTTCCAGTATAGATTGCATGAACACAGGGAAATAATAGTATTCTGCGCTCTCTGTGTTTGTGTTCTAGTTGGTGCTTTAGGGATGTTCTGTTTTCTCTTTCATTTGCCTGCAGTTAACCTTTTTCAGCTGCCAGTATGATGAAATACATGCAGTTGTCTGACAAGGTTACCTCCTGAGTAGTGAGTAGTTTGTATTCAAATAAAGCATTCCTTAAATAAATTGTGCTTAAAGACACAAGCAAAAAGCTTGAATAAGTATTTTAAGTGCAACACCACGGAAGTTAGGTTAAGTAGAGGTTCATTTCTGTGCATAAGTGTCTGTGAGTTTGTCTTCTGTACGTATTTTACAATAACCAGAAATTTAAGATACGTTGATAGAGCTTACAACACAGTATTTTTGTTTCAAATGAAAATCAATTTAATGAAAGGGAAGTTTTGGATCGTTTCAGGATGATGTTTTAAAACACAACAAACCTTGCTGGTAGGGAAGGAGCTTTATTAAGATCCGTGTTTCTGAGTATGTAGGCTTAGTTTGGCTATGTTTTATGTCATATGTACTTTCATCAGTATCTGGGAGAGCTGCAAGTGCTTTTAAAATAGAGCCTGTAATAAATACGTAATACGGTAACACTGGAGCAGTGGACAGGTATGATGAGCCCAAGGACTCTGCTAGCCATTGTTTGAATTATTATTGGCTATTTATGCTGCGTGCAGTTTCTAGTAACAGAGATTCTTTTGAAATTACTAAATTCTGCACAGACTTGTTGCTCTATGAAACGCTGTTGCTCTTGTGTTAACTTTTTGTTAAGTTCTTTGTCTACCTACTGTAGGTATCAGTGTATGTAGAAAACGTTATGTTTCTGCTCTTTGACACCTTTCTAGAGTATTTTTACAGATAGCACTGTGGAGCATAAAAGGAAAAGTGCTGGAGCAAAATAGGCATCTAGTCCTTAAATTATGAAAATCGCCTGAAAACAGAAATTACACCTTTTTTTTTTTTAAGTAGTAGCAAAACCAAGTTTCTTTCTTGCCCGTTTATGGTTCCATGTTGTGAGCTGCCAGAACTGAGAGACTTGGCAGGGCAATTGTTGGTGGAAATGATATACCTGGACTTAATAATATTCATCTCCAATGACAAGAGGATGAGTTCCTGAATTAGAACACTGATTAACAGTGGAAGTTTTAAGCAGACTGAATTCTGCAGTGCTTGCCATGATCTTGGTTCTCATGCAATGCTTTTTATGATAATTGCAGAAAAGCGGGTTAGTATCAGGTATATGTAAAAACTTTGTTTCCTGGGCTCTTACACTCATTCTTGTCCGTCTCTTCTATATTTTTAAAAGTACCTTGAACTCCATCTATGATCCAAATCTCTCTCTTCAGAAAAAACTTTGTTTTAAGAGGTAGTGATAATTTTAAATTCTGTTCATGCTTCTGCTGCGTTGGTCGGCTTTACTCTTTAGGACACAGAAGCTGTGTGGCTGTTCCTGGCGCCTTTGACTTCAGCACTAAAATCGATGTCAGGGGGATCTAAGCGCATTAGATTCAAGCCAGACTAAAGCAGTTTCTTCATAGCAGCTCATGTCTTTCAGTGAGTGAGAATAATACTCTGTAGGAAATCAATGACTTCTACCTGCTGTTCCTCATGATTTCGCACCAGTTTCTGATTGCAGTCTTGCCTCGTTCTCCTTAAAAATAATGTCTGTTATAATGTAGGGGCTCATGATGAAGGGTAGGAAACACAGTCACTCATGAACTGTAATTAAAGCTTTAAGGAACGCATACAACATACATACTATCTGTTGAAAGCGGTAACAAACAAGTATCATCTTACTCATGAAAAGAGACATGGTAATTTGTAAATAGCTAAAAGGAATTAGCTAAAGTAGCTTAAAATGTTTCAGTGAAGCAAGGCACAACTCAGATTTGCGTCACGGTCTCCGGAATGCTTGCGCTGCTGCACGTGCCCCCCGAGCCCTGTTCGGTCTGCTCTGAGAAGTTGTGTTGGAAGCAACTGCTCCTCTGGGACCAGGTTTGGTGCTCACGTGGCAGCCTGACTACTCCTGACTATGTTAAAAAATACTCTTGCTGTCTTGACAACTTGGCATTAGTATTCAGTGAAGTAAAAGACTTCTGATAAAATGTTCATCTTTGAAATTACTGACAAAAGACTGTTTCGTAACTGTTTCCCTCTCCTTCCCCTTGCTTCAGCAGGCTGGGGAGAAATGCCTACTGTCCACTCAAAGACCGAAGCTTCTTGGGGAGAGCCGACATCCCCTTCTGCTGCAGTTGATAATGGCACTTCAGCATGGGGGAAACCCCCCAGCAGTGGTACAGGGTGGGGAGATAATCCTGTCGAGTCGGCAGGGACATACGGAAGAACAAATGCTCCAGCTGCTGCCCCAGCACTGTGCAAACCAGGTACATGCGTGGGTGTCACTGACGTAAGAGGTTGGGAAAAAAGGCAAAGCATGTTTGCTTCTGCCAGTGTTTTAAACAGCGATTCTGGTTTTCTGTGCATTTAAATCTTAATAATGTCATTCATTCTTAAAACTCCATTGGCTGTCTCAAAACATTCATATTCCAGATACCAAATTCACACAAAGATATAAATACAGTGCTTTGATCCAGTAAATGTAAAGGTCTTCCTTAGAATATTTCAGTGTACTTTGGACGTGCACATTACTTACAGTACAGTAGGAACTGTAGAGATGCTGGAAACTAAAACTGCAGAAGAATGTGACCAGTACTTCTCCCTCGCTGCCCAAAAGAAACCTGTATTAGGATGAGAAGCACCTGAGCTCAGTCAAGATAGGATTGATTCTGGTAGGAAGAGAAACACACGAGAACGACTGGTCATAACTTCACTGTTCTGTTAAACTGAGGGGAGTGGGTATCATTCTAGCTATTAAAACCTGTTCACAGGTTCAGGAACATCCTGAACTGCTTCCTGCTTCATGATTCCTAACTAATCTTATTTGATAAAAATCCTCCAAAGGTTACAGTCCTTGTTGCAGACTTCTGTTTTGACTGTGGCAGTCTTTACCTTCACTCCTGACAAATACTGTACAGAGAGAGAGAGAGAGAGAGTGAGATAGATGGCTCAGAAAACCTCAGAAGAGGAGTGAGAGGTCTTAAGATGAATAATCTCAGTTTTTATCAGAGTAAACAGAATAAAATGGAAGGAGGTGACACAGCCTCATCACTTAAAGTGTTCATTGCAGCCCACATGCTCCTTTCAGTTCCCATTCTTATGAGATTGGAATGAGTTTCTGATTGTTAACGCCCTGGAAATTTGGTTTTGTTCATCGGACGAATGTGGCAGCTAAAATGGTGAGATTTCACTGAAAGCAAAATAGCACTTAAGTATGTGTGGTCATACTTTTGGTTCCTTGTTCCGAGGACAGTGGAATGACCATGGCCGCAGATCTCACTTGTTCAGGGAAAAGCAAGACTGGCTGTTGCTGGACTTTTTCTTCTATAAAGTATTTAGAGTACTTTCCTTTTTTGAGAGCTTCAAAGAAGGAGTCCTTATCATTTAATGCCAGTTAAGCTACTTGATGAACCTTTATATCTCTTGAAAATACTCAAATCTTAGTGTACTGGATATGGCATAAAAGGATATTTCTGTAAAATTTGTAGGAAATCGAATGAGATTTTTCTTTTCCCCTTTACCCTCCAGCTTCAAAATCTATGCAAGAAGGCTGGGGCAGTGGTGGGGATGAAGTGAATCTCAGTACTAGTCAGTGGGAAGATGAAGAAGGAGATATGTGGAATAATACTGCTTCACAAGAGAGCAGCTCCTCCTGTAATTCCTGGGGGAACGCCCCAAAGAAAGGACTTCAAAAGGTAAGACAAAAATAAAGACAGTCTCTAGAAGTGAGTGGAATTAGCATAACATTTCTAGACTCAGTTGTAACAGATCTTCTGTTGCGTTACGCCTGAACTCTTAAATTAGGCCTCTGACACCTGAACACAAACACTTGCCACTACAGTGGTTCAAGTAGAGTCTGCCTGCTGCTTACAGGGGGAAGTGGGAGATCTTTGACTTTCAGCATGTCAGATGCTTCGGGAGGTGGTGGTGGTGGTGGTGTTGCTTTTTTTAAAAAAGAAGTTTTATAAGCTTCCATGTATTTTAAAGAAATGATAATGTATTAACAGAAACAGGGAAAGTGTTAAGGGGGTGTTCAGACACTTTCCATGGTGGTAGAAAAGCGAACAGTAGTTTGTGATGAAGTGGTTCAACAAAAAATACTTATTTCTTGTGAGGAGCAAATAGATAATTGTAACGTTATGTGCTGGTATGAGAACAAAGCAAACCTGTACTAATGCCTCACTCAACCAACAACAGACAATTGCATTAGGAAGTTTTTCATTGCACAGTCTTTATTTCAGGACAAGGCCAGGCTGTAACTTAAAAGAAATTGGGAATGCATTTAGCCAGTTTGTTTTGTTATTCCATTAGCCAACAGTTAGGCCAGTGATTTGATCAAGTATGGTTGTTTCTTGTACTGTCCGCAGCCCAAAACAAATCCACGCTTGTCCCTTGGTACTTTCTGGAGAACTGAAAGGAAGAGACTTCTTAAGGATTTTGTGATAGAAAAGCTGCACAGAGATCTTTTAAAGGTGTTTATCTAGACGCTCTTGTTTGTTTTTAAGAAAATACACTGAGTAACATTCTTAACTTCAAGATTGCAAACTTGTTTTTGGGAATGTTTTTCAGGAAGTGTTGTATTATTTCAGAAATTTTTATTTCATACTATTTTTCTGCCAAGGATTAAAATGAAACATGTAAATTCAAAGGTGGCTTTAATTCAGTGGTCAGCAAATCAAATACTAAATAGCACACTGAACACCTATTCAGCTGAGATAAAGTATGTACACTTTGTGGGGGAAGAGAATCGTAGTTGCGTTGTTCGGAGGGTTCTTCAATACTTTCTAAATTAATGTACTAATCCATCTTTCAGTAGCATGTGTTATTAATAAGAAAAACTTACCTTGTCTTTTATGTATAACTCACTAGTATGAATATGGGAACCAGACCATTAATGGCATCTCCCAATTTTTTACTAAGGGCATGAAGACATCTAGCAAGCAAGATGAGGCCTGGATCATGAACCGTCTGATAAAACAGCTCACAGACATGGGCTTCCCTGTGAGTAGTGTTCATAGCTGGCACACCTCTGGCTTAGCTTTTGTGGCTTGTAGTTCTGACTGTCGATGTTACACACTAGCTACAAAAAGATCTTCAGTCTCTTCTTCAGGCCGGGAAGTAGTTCTGCTGCCTGCATTTCCGTGTAGTCATTTACTCTTAAATTCAGAAACCTCGCTGAGATGACTTGAGAGGCTTTGTGTGATGACATTTATAGATCTTCTGAAGTTCAGGGTTTTATAACAATAGATGTTATTTTGAACCTCAGTAATAGTAAAAGACTATGATTTGACCTTGTAGGACTGGTACTTACTTGACAAACTGAAACTAACTGAATTGGTAAAAGAAGAAAAAACTGTGCACAGCTCTTATTTGTTCTGCTGAGTAAATGTGAAATCCAGTATTTGGGACATATCTGTTTTCTCCGTTTGCTTTAGGATCATACAAGCATGATTACTTTTTTCTTAACGTAATCCATATTTTTGACAGAGAGAGCCAGCGGAAGAGGCCTTGAAGAGCAACAATATGAATCTCGATCAGGCCATGAGTAAGTATCTGTGTAACTAAAGTGGTTCTTTCCTTCAAAACAACACAGGAACCATTCATGATTCCGAGAGTTTGATCTTCTCACGTGTTTGATAATACGTATTTTCTCGCTTTTGCGTTTGTGAGCAAGACATTCTTCTCTGAAGTACTGTTAGCAAATTCACTGTCTTTGTGGCACCTTTTTCAATGTATTTCCCCTTTCCGTGAAGGTGCTCTGCTGGAAAAGAAGGTGGAAATGGACAAGCGTGGAATGGGAGTGACCGACTATAATGGAATGGTCACCAAACCCCTTGGCTGCCGCCCACCACCAATCTCCAAAGAGTCTTCCATGGACCGCCCCACCTTCCTTGACAAGGTAAGTTCAGAAATCTGAATGTGATAGACAAGTCAAAACTGTACACAGCGTAGAAATACTGATGATTCCCACTGTTTAGAAAGCTGTAGAGAGAAAAGGGACAGATAATTACAAATTGCTTTTCTGTTTCCTTGGTTTTAGTGTTGAGGGGAACTTAGTCCTTGTGGAAAGGACCGATGATTTGATTCCCACATCAAAATAAGCAGTGGTCATGCCTGGTGTTACACTTGAAATGAAAACCTACTGAGGAATCAGCAATGCAATGGAACTAGAAGGTGGGGGAGGGAGGAAAAAAAAA